AGTGAGACTCTCTAAAAAAAAAAAAAAACAAACAAAAATGATGATAATGAACTGTCTACAGGACTAATTTACATATAAAGTCTTGTTCTTTTTGGTACTGGAGATCAAACTTGGGACCGTGCACTTGTGAGGCAGGTGACAGCACCACTGAACTAAATCCATGGCCCATATAAAGTTTTGCAAAAAGAAAAATTTACTGCCATACAATTAGAAATAGGAATGAATCAGTTAAACATTCAATTTAAGAAATACATAAAGAGCTATAAAATAGTTAAGTAGCCAGGCATGGTGATTCACATCTATAATCACAGCACTTGGGAGGCTGAGGCAGGAGGATCTCTGCAAATTCGAGGCCAGCCTGTGCTATATAATGAGTTTGAGGCCAGCCTGAACTACATAGCAAAACCTATCTCATAAAAAGTTAAGTAAGAATGTAATAAGGATATAGGCATAAAATGATAAATTAGAGAAACGCAAAGTAGAACTGTTAAATCCAAGAGTTCTTTGCAGAAAAAAAAAAAAAGATTCCCAGCACTCAGGAGGCTGATGCAGGAAGATCTCCATAAGTTGGAGGCCAGGCTTGCCTACATAATTAATTCAGGGCCAGCCTGAACCGCATAGCAAGACTCTTATAAAAAAAAAAAATGGGGGGGAGCAGGAGTGGTGCTGCACACCTGTAATCCCAGCATTTGGGAGGTTGAGGCAAGAGGATCACTGCAAGTTCGAGGCCAGTCCCGGCTACATAGTGAGTTCAAGGTCAGCCTGAATTATAGCAAGGCCCAAAACAAAATCCACTTTAGCATAACCTTCCAGATAGCATGGAGCAGGAAACTAAGATTTTTTTTTTTTTTTTTTTGGTACTAGGAATTGAAGCCAGGGCTGTCTGTCACACTGAGGTATATATCCAGCCTTTTAAAAAATTTTTATTTTTGAGACAGGGTCTTGCTAGTTCCCCTCAAACTTTCAGTCCTCCTGCCTTCACCTGCCAGAATGCTGGGATTACAGGGGTGCACCACCGTTCCTGGATAAGATTTTCTTTTAACCAATATGACAGTGACATATTTTTTGTGTTAAAGCACAAAAAAACCTGCAGATACATGATGGAGCTCAAGAATGCAGGGGTACTTCAATATTGGAAAATCTATTTGTGGTAAATAATTGCCATTAGGGAAAAATATTCCTTATCTCAGAATATGAGATAATATTTACCAGATTTAAACATCTATTAATGGTTTTGAAAAAATCCTTAGTAAAAGTAAGAATAGCCGGGTATCTCATAATGGTGTAATATTTAGTAGCATTCATGTAAGTGGGTAAGATAAGTAATCCCGCTATCAACTATTATTGATATTAAATTTTGGTCTGTAAATATGGGTCAGTGCAATTAAATAAGAGGAAATAAAGAAGTGTAAATATTAAAAAGGCATAGGCTTTTTTTTTCAGATACTATTATAAGCCTTATTGGGGGGTGAAGTACAGAAAATCTGAGTAAAGAAACCGGTTGTGAAATTAATATTCAGTCAACAACAGCTAGGTGGTATAAGGAGTGGCTTAACTCAAACCCAGCAAACAGAAGAGGGTGTAGTTGAGTGAGTACGCACCCTGAACGCACTCTGCTGAGCGGCAGAAGGCGCATGCGTGGGGTGGCTGGGCACGCGCACCAGGTACCCGGGCGCATGCGTGAGGTGCACGGCATGTGCATGTGAGATACCCGGGCGCATGCGCGAAGTGACTCAGGCGCGTGCGTGTGAGGTACCCGGGCGCATGCGCGAAGTGCCCGGCCGTTCCGTGAGGTACTCAGGCGCTGTGCATTCGCCCACTCCTCTGGAGTTTGAGCTTCGTTAAAACGTGGGCTTTCTCACGCCCACTCTGCTGTGTGGAGTTGGAGCTTTTCTCCCCTCAGCCTTTCCTCTTTGTGGCTTTCGGACTACTTACTGGCTGTCAGAAGTAAAGACCACTGCAAAGGTGTCAGTCATGGCCTCTGATGACATTACCTACCTCACCGAAAATATGGAATTGCCACCAGAATTCCTGGAGCTGCAGCAGGTAGATAAGGAGGCGACTCCTAGGGACACCGGGGGGATGCAAACCCTCTTACACCAGGATACTGGCGACAGTTGGGTCCACGGTGGCTATCATTACCCGCCTCTGTTTGCACTGCAGCCGGTTGTCACCAGTAATGTGAGCAATGACAACCTCCAGGAATTGATCTTGGTACAAACCCGAGAGGAGGTGGTGGACTACTGTGACTTAGACAGTCAGCAAGTCAACAGTGAGTTCAAGGGCCAGGTGATCGTACCAGTTGACGGTGAAGACAATTACTTCCAGTCGACTCAGGTCTCTTTGCCATCCTCTGCCACACCATCATCCTCTGATCACTCCGCAAATCACAGCAGTCACAGCAAGAAGTGCAAAGGCAAGGGCAACAGCAGTGAGGCTAGGGCAGAAGGCAGCAGCTCCAAGGTGGGCAGCAAGAACTGGCAGCAGAAACCGGTAGAGGTCCAAACCCTACAGGAGATTTTCCCCGTCAAGTTATCCTCGAGCAATGAAAGAGATTTCGAGGTAGAGATTCGCGGACAAACTGAAAACACGACTCCTGATTATTCAGAATACATGAAAGGGAAGAAACTACCTCCTGAAGGAATACCTGGCATTGACCTCTCTGATCCCAAACAGTTGGCAGAATTTACAAAAATGAAGCCCAAAAAACCCAAAGATGACATTCCGAGAACTGTAGCTTGCTGTCAAGAAGGCTGCACGAAGATGTTCAAGGATATCTATGCTATGAGAAAACATCTGCACACCCATGGTACCAGAGACTACATATGTGCAGAATGTGGCAAAGGTTTTCTTGAGAACTCAAAACTTAAACGACATCAGCTGGTTCATACTGGAGAGAAGCCCTTCCAGTGCATCTTTGAGGGCTGCGGGAAACGCTTTTCCCTGGAATTCAATTTGCGCACTCATGTGCGAATCCATACAGGAGACAGGCCCTTCGTGTGCCCTTTCAATGGTTGTGACCGGAGGTTTGCTCAGTCAACTAACCTGAAATCGCATATTTTAGCACACGCTAATAACAGGAACATTCTGTAAAAAGGCTGGTAGTGTAGTTGGGAATAATTATGCCTCCTGTTTCTATATTGTTTGTTTATTAATACATGTTTGTAGTACATAGTGATTACTTTTTTGTTTTTGTTTTTGCTTTGGTTTTTTGGTTTTCAGTTTTTGGTTCTTTTGTTTGTTTGTTTGTTTGTTTTGATACTGGGGATCAAACTAAGGACCTTGCGCTTGCAAAGCAGGTGGCAGAAACCACTGAGCTAAATCCCCAGCCCATGATTATGTTTTTTGTGTGGAATTTGTACGTGTACATAATTATTTTTGTCACTATCCCCTCCCATCCCTCCCTGTTCCCTCCAACTCTTGATCCTTTTCCCATTTGAAAAAGCTGTTTCCATTTTTTCTTCAGTTCTTTTTTTAATCCTTTTTCCCTTCCTCTTCACCTCCATCTCTTGTTACACTTCCCATTTGAAAAAGATCTCCCTGTATAAACTTCATGTTTGAATAGTGTTTCTAAGAAAAATGTAATGAATCTTTTATATTTTAAGAGTTATGCTAGAACAGTTAAAAAGAGTTTTAAAAATAGTCTTTCTATCAAATAATATTGTTAAGGTACCATTTCTTGTTCTGTAATGGTGTTTTGTGAACTTGGGTTTCAACAGGTAAATAATGGTACTTACATTCTTATAAATGTGAAGTTAACTTGTTGCTAACAGTTTTTAAAAAATCTTTATATTTCCACTTGATCTCTTGCACCACAAAAAAAGGTCTTTTACAAATGTTCATGTTTATACTTTTAAACTTTTAGAATATGCTTAGCAATTATATATGTGGTTTTGCTGGAAGTGGATATGTTTTATTGAGAAAGGTTTTCTTTAAAAAAGAATGAGGAATTATATGCATATTTTCCTTTTAAAGAAAAGTTATATAAGCTTTGTATAATATTTTAATTTTGTTTTTATTATTTAATGTTAACACATTTTGAATAACTATCTTTTAGTTGAATTATGCAGTATCTACTGCATTAGATTAATAGTCAATTTAAACCTATTTTGGTCATTTTTAAAAAAAACTAGATGTTGTTGAGTACAATTTATTTGCCTGTTCAGTGATAGAGACTAGTCGCAAAATGTATTGTGTATATATTGACTTTAAACACCTGGTATGTACATCTTGTGTAGTGGGAAAAGCAAAAAAAAAAAAAATGTAAAGAAGAAAAAGAAGAGAAGCTCTGTGGCTCGAGGTATAGCTCTCAGCAATTGCATACATGCACAAAGAGTAGCTGTGGCTCGAGGTATAGCTCTCAGCAATTGCATACATGCACAAGGTCCTGGGGTTTGATCCCCAGCACAACTTGCCCAAAATAGCTTACCTTTATTAATGTAATAGTGATATAGGAGAGGGAGAGAGTGCTACAGGCATCTGGTGGGTAGAGCCAAGGAATGCTGAACATCCTAGAGTGCATAGGCCAGTCCTCTACAGCAAAGTATTATCTGGCCAAAATGCCAGTAATGCCAGTGTTAAGTCCTCCTCTAGGAAAAGTAAAAACTTAACCACAGAAGTGTATTTATAAATAAATCATAATAGACAAGAGGTGGTTTAGATGAAGGTAGTGTGTGGGCTCCACAGCCCCCCATTGCCACTTAGCCTTCATGGTCAAGTTCACAATATAGGCCCGTGATTTGGTACTAACTGCCTGCCTGGTAAAAAATACGAAACTTCAGAGAGCTAAGGAGTCAGCACTACTGTTTGCCCTCACCTTTGTTATCTTTGTTCTTGTGTTCTTGCCTTGTTCTGCGATTAGCACTTACGGGGTTAGAGTTAGGGAGTAGTATTCTGGATTAGTTCCACTAGAATATATTCTAATACATATTGAATTGAGTAGCTGAGTGAGGTTTTAGGGTTTGAATTGTATTGAACTTTGAAAGTAGTACAAGAAAACACATATGACTCTTTCTTTCTTAAAATGGGAAAGACTTGCTACAAAGGAGCCATTTGACCATATCTTTTTTTTTTTTTTTTTTTTTTTTGCCGGAGCCAGGGATCAAACTCAGAACCTTGCACTTACAAGGCAGGCACGGTGCCACTGAGCTAAATCCCAGCCCCTTTATCAAAAATTATAATGCCATATAGGTAAAACAATTAAAATAAACTTAGGGAAGAAAATTTTAATACCAGTTACAAAGGACCACATACCTCAATGCATATAAGTAATGACATGTGCAAATCTTTTAAAAAGATAGGCTAGCCAGACATGGTGGTGCATGCCTATAATCCCAGCACTCAGGAAGCTGAAGGAGGAGGATCACAAGTTCGAGGCTACGTAATGAGTTCAAGGCCAGCCTGAACTACATAGTAAGACTCTGTCTCACCATAAGTTTGAGGCCATCCTTGTCTACTTAGTGAGTTCAAGGCCAGCCTGAACTAAATAATGAGACCCTGTCTTGCCATGAGTTTGAGGCCAGCCAGGTCTACTTAGTGAGTTCAAAGCCAGCCTAAAGTGTATAGTAAGACCTCATCTCAAAAAAAAAAAAAAAAGGCTAGTCAAAAATTGCCAAAGTTATAAAAAGTAATTTGATAGAAGTAGGTGGCTTTCAAACAAGAGAAAATAACCTTATAAAATGTGTAGGCTCATTTATTAGTAAAGAACTAGAAATCAAGACAGTAGGATTTTGCTTTTCACCTGGCAGACTATCAAATCCAGTATTGTTCAGAGGAAAGGGAAACATGAATTAATGTAAACTTAGGAGAACCATATCAGTGCACATGCTTTTTTGACCCAGTAATTCCAATTCTAGGTGAAATTCCCTTTTAGATTCATACTTAAGTAGATCCATAATGATAAAAGCAAATCTGTTTATTACATCATTGTATGAACAGGTTTAAGCAGCCTAATGATCATTAATATAGAATCAAATAAATTGATATGTTTATATGATGGATTACTATGTAGCAAATATATGAAATAGAATTGATATGACTACAAATATAGGAAAGTGTTCAAAATATGGCCTAATAAATTTAATACTTTTGGTGTTTTAAAAAGGTATATTTATGTATAATAGAAAAGATTATTTTTCCAATAAGCCCTGAACCATCTTACTGTCAAGATTTCTGGAATGTAACAACTTAGATCACTTTTAAAAATTTTTTATGATGTGAATATGGTACATGGAACATGTGTGTTACCTAGGTATCTGTTTCAATAACAAAATAAAAATGGCTTCAATTCTGAAAACATTTCAAATGTAAATAGCTCAATGTTGATAATTCTGTGATTTAGGAGATCTCTGTTGTTAGCTTTGCTACTCCTAACATGTAGCTTCTACCAGTCTCAAGTCTGGCTCCATAATAACCACTAGATTCCACAGTAAGGCAGTGTGGTTCCATTCAAACCCTGATGCTTATCCCCCCAATCCCATGCAAACAATTGCTGTAGAAAAGGGGAGGGAAGACTAGGTATGGGAGGAGGGGCATGCTAGTAAATGTTTCAACACCTGACTAGAAGGTATAGTGAGCAGCTCTGTTATTAGCGTTTTCTGGTTCTGGTTTCTGTGGTATGAATACTCCCATTGTAGCCAATTTCAAGTTGTAGCCTATAGTTCCTAAAGGAGAAATTAGGAGGAGATATACACTGTTGGCTCTGGAAAGCTAATAGGAGCAGGCTGCGGCACACTTGTAAGTTCATATTACCATTTCTGCCACAGGATGGAATATAATTCTTGGGAGGAAAAAAAGGAGTTTATAATCTGAAACTGAGGGCTGCTGGTGCAACTCAGTGGTAGAGAGTGCTTGCCTACCAGACACAAGGCCCTGAGTTCTACTCCCACCTCCACACACACAAAGAAGTGTTTACTGGCCGGGGATGTACCTCAGTGATATATCATGTTGAAGGCCCTGGGTTGGTCCCCAGCAACACACACCAAAAAAACTGTATATACTTGTATCTTGAAAAGCCTTTATTTTTTTTTTTTCCAATACGGAATCAAACTCAGGACCTTGTACTTGCCAGGCAGGTACAGCGCCATTTAGCCACATCCCCAGTCCCCAAAAAGCTTTTTATTGTGCACTTCTGCATGCCTTTCCAGGCACACTGGTTCACATGAAGTATTATATACACCATGGTCATTCTTCAGTAACTGAAAAATTTTAAAAATACAAATTTTGAGATGGATAATCATGTTAAAAGTCCTTCAAAACTGTTCTTAAATACCCTTAGAGTTATTAGAAAACTTGCTG